AAACTAAACCACACCCACACTGTGATCTTATAATGCTAGGTTTTCCTCATCTTCATCTTAGTTGAGGTTCATTTAATCAGTTGTTGCCTTACCATTATACCTTGACATATTTCCCACTATAAATGGAAATGGAAATTCAAGTGTCTGGATTTGTTTCCATGGGAAATCAGGTGCAAAGTTAAATTAAAGGTCAAATATAGTTTTTTTTTTCATGCATGGGTTTGTAAGGACAGCCATGGATGGTCAATTTCAGTGAAACTGTGCAAATCAAATGATGACTTCCTTAGCACATAATGTAACTGTCTTGTTATAGGTTCACCAGAAGACAAGTGTAGGCTGATCTTCAATCTTTATGACACCAATGGTTCTGGCTTACTTAGTATGGATCAGTTTAAAAGGTTAATAAAGTAAGTTGGTATCTTATTACTTGTAGATTATTTCCTTGTACCCTAGCTAGTATCATGAACCTGTATTAATACATTGAAGGGTGGCCATGTACAAAACTTGTTGAATTGATAGTAAAATAAAATATGAATACTGATCGAAAACAGGAATAATGAGATTTAATGTGAATTTAATACGCAAAAATTAGTAATTTTCAGTTTGTGTTATTGTGCCAAATTATACCAAAAATATAAGATAATTCCTTATTACTATCATAAAGAAAGAATACATTTCTAATTTGATTAAAAAATGTAATAAAAGTATAAATTATAATTATAAATGTTTGTTAAACTAAAAGTTTAATAATGAAAAAAAATCATTTCAGGAATTGTTTTCTAATTTTTATTGCTGTTTCAATATAGTCTATTAGTTTCATTAGTAATAATTTGTTGTTTGTGTTGACTATATGAATAAACTTTGAACTGGTCATTTGATTTTGAGAAAATTGAATACAATGTTTTTCTTAGTTCAGTGAATAGTTTGCATGAAATGATAAAATGTATCTCATCTTCAATTTCATTGTATTTTGTACATTACATATGCAATATATTATAATGTAATATTTTATAATATACAATGTTTTTGCAATGATCAGAATATATATTAAAAAAATATATTACATCTGTTTTCAGGGGTACTCTGGAGCTGATCCGAGCCAATATTGAGCAAGAAAATATGAATGAAATGGTCACTATGATGTACAACAGAGCTGGGTTGTCACATGAAAGTAAACTAACATTTGAAGATTTTCTTACTGTACTGGGAGACGATAAAGAGAACTTTGCTAAGGCTTCCATCCAAGTAAAAGGTGAGCAACACTACTTTGATATTGGCAAAAATTCACCTATTCTCGGGGGTGGAGCTACGTCGCAGAACGTCCGCTCCCAAGAATAAAAATAATGGTGAACAGTTTGAGACGATAGAAAGTATGGAACAATTGCATGAATTTATACTTTTGAACTTAAGAATGAAAAAGTTAGAATTTGTTTCACAGTCAATGCAAAAAATCTGGGGTCACCAGTCTATTTTTTAAAACAATGATGTGTTGTTCTTCTACTATTGGTTACTATGACGAAGATATTATGCCATTGTAGGGTGGTAATAATAGGGTAATTTCATGAGAAACAAATTTTTCTGAATATCATGGTGTCAGTGAAAATAGTTTTGTAACCTGTAAAACATAGACTGTTACAAAATTTTGTTTTAACCTTTTCACTACCAGTTCCCTCTTTTCATCACAAACTCACAAAATAGTCTCGTTTATAGTCTGCGCTTTCTGACAGAAGACTGGGACAAAAATAGCAAAATTCAAACTAAAAATTGACAAAAATTTTGTCTGTTGGCTCCAAAATTCAGGGTTCATTTCCAGAAAAAAGTGCTGAAATATTTGGGTAAGAAAGTCTTGGTGGTGACAATAATGCTATAAAATCGTCAAATCTTGAAAATTCTAACTGAAAATTAATCAGTTTATCGTATACTATGACTGATGCATTTATTTGTATCATTCTCATAATTTATAAAATGGGGATTTTAAATAGATACAAAAAAATGGTATTTTGTAGGACTAGACAATGACATGGTATCTCCAAGGCAAGTTAAAGTCTCCGGAATTGAACGACAAAACACTTGTATTATGAGGTAAGTCCATGAGTGGATACAATCAATAGAAATGCATGTAGTTCAACAATTTTCAAATAAAGATATATATTTTCACTTTGGTAAATCGTTATATCACAGAGAAGTATTTTGCAT